TGAAATTGACCATTTTCGTAAGCGTGATGATTCTCTGTCATACTTCAACAGTTATTACTTGGAAGGTTAATAACTTTAATGGTTGTTACACGTTTTTTTAAGTCTTTCTTCAACGGTTGAGATGTTAAATCAGAACCAGCCCAGATTACTTACTTTGAGAATTGATTACGGGTCTAAATATTGATTCAAAAATAGTAAATTAGTTATATCTACTGCACGCTAAAGTGAGACATCGATTTAATACGCCGAGAAACCCATAAGACACCAAGAAATTGTTTTGTTACCAACAAATCTAAAAGGAAAAGTATTTAAAGCCGATTACTGGCTCAACTCGTATTTCAGAATTTTAAATTTAAATGCATATGAAGCGCGTTAAAATCTGACATAAAATGCATATGCGGATGACCCCATAAATTGTTTCGTAAGTGATTTATTATTAACAAATCCAAAAAACAAAGTATTTAAAGCCGATTACGTGCTGAATTTGAAAGTCAGAAATTTAAAAATAACTGCATCCGAAGCGCATTAAAATTTGACATAGAATACATATGCGGATGACCTCATAAATTGTTCCGTAAGTGATTTATAATGAACAAATTCAAAACACAAAGTATTTAAAGCCAATTACTTGCTCAATTCGTAAGTCAGAAATTTAAAAATAACTGCATCCGAAGCGCATTAAAATTTGACATAGAATGCATATGCGGATGACCACATAAACTGTTCCCTGAGTGGTTTATTAGCAACAAACAATAATACCAAACTTTAGCAGCTGATTACTCCATCATTTTTAAACACAGAAACCTAAAATAAATTGCATTAAATGCGCGCTTAAATTACACGTCTAATACATCTACGGATGACCACACACCGTGTTTAGCCGCTGCAATATAATTTAATAACCGAATTTTAAAACTTTGACCAATAATTACTCCGTCAATTTTAATCTCAGACTCTCGAAAGTTGTTTTTTCGGAAGCGCTCGAATTTTGGCGAATTTTCGAGTACCCGGATGTTTGTGTAACTATAACTAATCACTCAGAATTTAGTTCTCGACCTATATTTATTTACGGCCTTGTTGTCATAGATATTGAGTTGTCATAGATCTCCTGTTGTCCTAGCTTACTTGTTGCCATAGGTATCTTGTTGTCATAGATATGCTGTTTTCTTAGTTACATTGTTGTTATAGATATCTTGTTTTCCTACTGACCTGGTTGCTTTGTTACGTGTTGTCATAGAAACCTTGGAATCCTTGTAATTTTGTTGTCTTAGATATCTGGTTGTCTTACTCGCATTCCTTTCGTCAATACTTGTTATCTTTGATATCATGTTGTATTAACTATCTTGTTGCTCTACGGACTTGGTTGTCTTGCATACTTGGTTGTCTTATGGATACGGTTGTCTTACTTACCTGGTTGTCTTCGTCACCTGGTTGTCGTATATATGTCGGTGTCTTGGTCATATTGCTGTCGTAGTCATATAGTTGTCTTCGTTACTTGCTCACTTGGATACCCTGTTGTTTTAGTTATCTTGTATCTTAGATATATTATCCGCTTAGATTTGTCGTTGCGTTAGATATCTGGATGTCTATATTTTCTCGTTGTCTTATGTTTCTGGTTGTCGTGGATATCATGTTGTCTGAGCGTTTTCGTTGCCTTAGTCACATTGTCGTTTTGGATGTTTTGTTACTTTGGGAACATTGACCGCTTGGATATCTTGTCCTCGCTATGTCTTGTTGTCATGGATATGTGATTGTCGTACAGATCTAGTCGTATTACATGTCTTGTTGTCTTGGCTGTCTGTTTATCTAAGATATCTAATTGTCTTAGCAATCTGGTTATTTTTGATATTCGGTCGTCATAGTCACAGTGTTGTCTAAGTCACATCGTCTTGGAAGTTATGACATCTTGGATACCTTCTTTTCTTAGACATATTGTTGTCTTGAAAACCTTGCTGTCATGAATATTGCGTTGTCTTGGATACTTTACTTTCTTAGCTATCTGGCTGTCTTTAGTAACTTGTGTCTTAGATTTCCTGTTGTTTGAGATATCCCGTTGTCTTGGATATATCGCTGTCTTGGATACCATGGCGTCTTTAATGGCTTGGTGTCATAGTTATCCTGTTGCCTTAGTTATCCTTTTGTCGTATATAAACCGTTGCCTTGCATATCTTTATGTCTTATATATCTTGTTGTCAAAGATATTTTAATGTCCAACCCTTCTTGTTCTCTTAGTTTTTTTTTTGGTGTCCTAGATATATTATTGTCTTAGTTATTTGGTAGTCTAGGATATCTACTTGTCTTAGTTATTTGGTTGTCTACGATATCTACTTGTCTTGGTCGCATTGTTACCTTAGACTGTCTTTAGACATAGTATTTATGATTTTTTGACTTTTTTGTTTGGCTAGACTTTTTTTAATTATAACCATTCGTACACTCTTAAATTCCCAACATATTAAACTTATTTTCATGTCCGTAAAAACAATTTTGGACTTCTTAGAAATTTTTTTTTTTTTTTTGGTGATCCATTTTTGACAATTATTTTTCGGCTTGGGACTAATTGTTTGTCGTTTGTCTTCAAACTTCGATAAGTTTCTTAGAAGATACGGCTGATACTACCTGCCCTACTGGGGTTGTGTCAAAATGACTTAGGAATTATTATTTGGCGATATTTTAATTTTAATCGTTATTATACAAAATAATTAATGCTATACGGCCTTTATTTGTCATCTACAGATGTTATTGGCAGTGCAAGTAGTCTTTCTTATCCGCTTAAGTTATGAAATATTTCTTCTCTTTTTGTCTTCATCTAAAGAATCATGTCATATCGGCAGCTGGAGATTTTGTAATACTTTGATAACCTATTTGTCGTTGTTTGATCAAACTTCCTTTTATTTTCGACAAAGATGCGCCAGATACAACTTAGACTATTTGTATTACTCCTCAGTTATGAAGTAACTTCAAATATATGGTATTATACTTTGTATCTGTTGTTGACTTTCATCCGACCTATTACCAAAAAAATAATTACAAGGTCTTCGTATTGGGTTAAGCGTTGCGCTGTGATGTTTTTAAATGACTTCCGCTGTTATTCATGCTTTTGGATCTTTACAGATGTAGTCTCATACTCGGTCATTATTTCATTAGCAATCAGGTAATGGTCTAGCTTTTAACTAATTTCCATCCTCTTCGGCATATTATCTGTAATCGCTCTCTTTACAGGCTGCTACCATTTCATTTTGATTGATTCCGTCACAAATCTCTTCCTGTTACTCACTTATTACGTCAAGTCCATTTATAAACAGTTTATTATGCCGGCTAGACTTTTTTAAATCAACTGTAGACATAAAGATTACAATTTTAGACGTAATAAAAGTATTCCCATGTCCTTAGAAAATTTTTTCGAGTTTTGAAAATTATTTTTCTGTTTTTATCTGATGTGTCCTTTTTTCCAATTTCTTTCGGCTAGGAACGGAATCTTGATATTTTGCGTTGAAACTTTTAGGAGTCATGCAGAAGATGTTTTTTTAACTAGGCGTGCAGCTGTTGTTGTACAAAACCGTCTTTCAAAGTTTTAATTGGCAGTATGGCTCTTTTTAACATATTTTATAAAGTATTTCCTTCATTATTTTGTCCATTCAAATTCTGTGTACCTCCTGCGTAATGGAAACAGTTTTCGTATAATGCTAAAGTAACTCCGACTAATTGCGACTGTTCGTTTTAGTCAAAACTTACAAGTCTTGTCGATTATTGGTCGTTACAAGTTTATTTTTCACTCATCACAGCCCCTAGTCAATAAATCTACTTTATACTGAGGAGATAGCGCAGTGATAATAGCTACTGCAAGAACAGAAAGAATGCATACAACTTTGCCAAAGATATGAATCTTCCTGAACATTACATTGCGTCTATATCATGATATAACACAAGATAAAACGTCCATACAGAGATCCAACACGCCTTCCATCAAGTGTAACATGTACTTACGTGAGACAACATCTCGTCACGCATTTAAATAAGTGCAAAGCCGGTCAAAGCACGTTTATATGGCCTAAAAACACGTGTTTAACGCGTCGGTTTAGGTTGGGAACGCATTTGAGGCGTGTACATAAAATAGCATGATATGTCACGTGAAAGTCACGTGTATTAATAATATACGTCATGTCTTGTACTACACAGCTGACACGAGACTCCGCCAGAATTATAGCTTAGGGGGGAGAGCGTCGTTCTTTAAAAGCGGGGTTTAAGGGTTCGACCCCGGCCGGCTTCATTTTTTGCACTTTTCACACAGCTGCTTTTAAGTGTGATCTTCCCCACCAGCGTATTCCTGAGGTTGAGGCGGTTCTCCAACATTTTTTTGTTAAAGATTTTGTTAGAAAAATATTTCGGAATATTTAGTTACCCATCTTTATGCAAAATCAGTCAGTGACTTTCAACTTTTTTATAGAACTTGATTCGGTTGTGTTGGTCAACACAAGGGGATTACTTTTTTATTCGATAATTCGTTATTAACGAGGCGTATACGCGTAAAACCAAACTTATGCAAGGGGAAGGGATTTAAACGGGCTCTGATGAACGATGTTTGCCATCATGATTAGAAATAAAAATCGACGGTGCTCCTACTCGTATGGTACGCAGTCTGCAGTGTCCAAAGTTGATCCAAACTTGATTGGGTAACAACCAATGCTTGTTAAAGGCTAGAAGATCATAGCAAGGTGTCTATATATCAGGTAACTTTGATTCACTTGCGGAATTTCTGTCATGAGTAGTATACTGTTGATAAAGACGGTTAAACAAGATTATTGCCTCTTTGTTCTTGCTTGATACTATAATCATGCCTGGTTGAAATATAACTGATTAAAATGCATTATCAGATAGTGGACTATTAAACAGCGAAAGGTAATAAGAAACTAAAGCAAGTAAGAAAATGAGGCTCTATTCTAAGTTGGAGAATTTGTCACGATAAAAATAAAGGCTCACTCTATACTCCAAATGTGAAAAACATGTTGTTGGTTTTATCGGATGGATCATCTTTTAAAAATTCTTTCGGCTCTAGTCTTTATGTTAATAATCCCTCTTCAGTGTCAGCCGACACATGTGTAAAGTAATGACAGAATAATTCATCAAGTTGTCATTGATTGAAACTGCCTTTAGACATACTATTTAAGGATGTTTTCCCTTTTGTACACTTTTTTGTCCAGCTAGACTTTTTTCAACTATTAGCATATCTAAATTTGCCTATTCCAAATACATTAAAATTACTCCCATGTCATTATAAAATTTTTTGGACTTTTGAGAAATATATTTCTATTTTTGTCTTCAGTCTTTTATTTTCTAATTTCTTTCGGCTTGGAACGAAATCTTGAGATTATCCTTTGAAACTTTTAGGAGTCGTGTAGAAGATAATACGTAAACTATACATAATGTGGTAGTTATTCAAAACTGCTGTAAAAGTTGTTCATTGGCAGTATTCTCAGTTTTTTTAAGTATCATAGACTATTTCTTCAGCAATAATGAGTGCATTCATGATCTGCTTATATTGTGTGTAGTGTACAATGTCTTTATACTATGCTAAAACCGTATCAATTATTGGACACCTGTTGCTATGAAATGAAATTACAAGGCCGGCCATTTGTGGGTCCTTTTACTAACATCGTCGCTACTTGATTGTTATTTTGTTAAATATTTCCGATATTTTGCTCACAGTCGCACTAGTAATCAAGGCGACTGTTGCCAGTATTCCCCAATTTATAGCATTTACTTAATAAAGTATTGTAACTTACTTTGAAGTTGTGGTCGAACAATTGGAAAATTATTTTCCAATCAACGACTGTTGTGAGTTCATATCATGTTTTAAACTGAGCTGATCAATGCTAAAACTGTTACAAATACGAGTACTTTAGACTTATGTCAAAAATGACAGTTACTCTACAACTTGGAAGTTTCTTTGCCCAAGACTCGGGTTATCTAGTCAATTATTGTTCCTCGTTCATAATATTTCGTAGATGGTTACAAAATATGTTTCTATAATTGTTATATCAAGGCCAATTATTGTGGCAATTCAACCTTTTGTGAATTTGGCCCAGGTATCATTAGGTTAGGTATCTGACGTTTGTTTATCTGACCTGCTTTATGATATGGACTTTTTTTAACATTTTGTGTACGGAGTGTAGACGATTAGAATTCTATTAAAAGTTTTCCCTTGTCGTTGTAAATTTTTTTCGACTTTTGAAAAATATTTTTTTGCAGTTTGTTTAAAAGATACTTTTTTCCAAATATCTTTCCGGTTGGGACGTATGCTTGGTATTTTGTTCTAGTACTTGCATCATGAAAGTAGCAGGCTTCTTAAACCGATATAGATTGCGTTAGTCTTTTAAAAGTTTCCGAAAATATTTTTTGGCTTTATTGTTGGGTTTTTTAGGTCTTTAACAATTGGAATTTTCGAAACTTCCTAAATTCTTGTTTCGTCTACACCATATGCAGTGTAGAAGTTCCTTTATCATTGTACACCTATTCCAATTGTTTATAAGTACTCATTGTTGACAAACAGTTACGACCTTAACTATTATTATTCTTTTTAATGTCTTGATCCTTACTTCGTTAATATTCGACTATGTCTTCCCATTTCCTCTCAAAGAAGAGCTGGTTGGTCCTAAATTAGTTCCAGGTATTTCCCAGTTATAATATATATCATACATACAATCACTTGGTATTTCGTAATTTATTCTATTAACTTGATAAACAATTCGTCTAAACTAATTTTATCATACATACCAATGATACAAGGATACTCTAGGGTATATTGAACCGATTGACGACAGTTTGTTCTGCCTGACATTTGCATTTAAAGAAGTATCAGCCCATATAATTATGGCTTATTGAAAATCACTAATATTTGTAATACAGAAGCGATACACTTTTCTAAAAGCAACTAAACTATTATTTCTACTTATATTTTAGACATAAACAGTAGCAGGACCCATAGTTTCTTTTTCTACAAGATGAGGATTTGCCAAAGATATATTGGCCCTCCATATTATAACTAAAATAACAAAATTACAGTCTGTAATAAGACCGGCCTGTCCTTTATAATAACGCTAGAGGTCAGCCAGACGAATGAATCCTGCCCTGAAAAATAAGTTTAGACCAAAAAGCAAGAAACAATTATATAGAACAATACTTTGCAATTTCATCATAAAAATTGACTACAATCCCGTACAATTTACCCTAGAGTACCCCTAGAAACGATCCAAGACTATTACTTTTCATGCCTGCCATTGCCCAGCCAATCATCGCACAGGAATCTCCAAAAAAGTCAATTTTTTAAAAAAACTTTTTTTGTGCAGAGAAATCAGAAAGGTTAAAAGCGGAGTTTGAAAAATTTTGTCCATTTTTGGATTTTTGAAAACATTCTCAGCCAATCAATTATTGTCCGACGGCGTTGAAACTGGTATCATTCGAAAGCCCTTTGCAAGGCGCAGAGCGTAACCAAGCCGGATTGTTAAAGTTTATTCAAAAATCTATTTCAAGAACGATTTAAATGTTATTTCCCTGCTTAAAATCGGGATTTTTGACTTTAAACGTGTGTAACAACATTTCAGCCAATCTAAGGGGGGTCATATTATACATTTTTGAAATGCCACAATTTGTAGCTATTTTTGAGGAAATTTGTTAAATTTCATTCGGGGTGCTATGGGCAGGCAAAATTGGCTTGGGTAGGGGTAGGCTGAGAGTTAATGTAGTGTACTTAGTTGATGACTTTGAAACCCAAATAAGTCAATGGGTTTTCATTTCTATAGATCGAAAATAGTACCGTTGAAACGAGCTCATTTTTCCACGTAGGATAGCCAAGCGTTTTTTTCATTCCAGATTTCATCGGGGGTTACTATGGGCAGGCAAAATTGGCTTGGGTAGGGGTAGGCTGAGAGTTAATGTAGTGTACTTAGTTGATGACTTTGAAACCCAAATAAGTCAATGGGTTTTCATTTCTATAGATCGAAAATAGTACCGTTGAAACGAGCTCATTTTTCCACGTAGGATAGCCAAGCGTTTTTTTCATTCCAGATTTCATCGGGGGTTACTATGGGCAGGCAAAATTGGCTTGGGTAGGGGTAGGCTGAGAGTTAATGTAGTGTACTTAGTTGATGACTTTGAAACCCAAATAAGTCAATGGGTTTTCATTTCTATAGATCGAAAATAGTACCGTTGAAACGAGCTCATTTTTCCACGTAGGATAGCCAAGCGTTTTTTTCATTCCAGATTTCATCGGGGGTTACTATGGGCAGGCAAAATTGGCTTTGGTAGGCGTAGGCTGAGAAATAACGTAGTGTACATAGTTCATGACTTTGAAACCCAAATAAGTCAATGGGTTTTCATTTCTATAGATCGAAAATAGTACCGTTGAAACGAGCTCATTTTTCCACGTAGGATAGCCAAGCGTTTTTTTCATTCCAGATTTCATCGGGGGTTACTATGGACAGCCAAAATTGGCTTTGGTAGGCGTAGGCTGAGAAATAACGTAGTGTACATAGTTCATGACTTTGAAACCCAAATAAGTCAATGGGTTTTCATTTCTATAGATCGAAAATAGTACCGTTGAAACGAGCTCATTTTTCCACGTAGGATAGCCAAGCGTTTTTTTCATTCCAGATTTCATCGGGGGTTACTATGGACAGCCAAAATTGGCTTTGGTAGGCGTAGGCTGAGAAATAACGTAGTGTACATAGTTCATGACTTTGAAACCCAAATAAGTCAATGGGTTTCCATTTCTATAGATCGAAAATAGTACCGTTGAAACGAGCTCATTTTTCCACGTAGGATAGCCAAGCGTTTTTTTCATTCCAGATTTCATCGGGGGTTACTAATGACGCTTTTTGAACGATTAAAATATAAAGTTCACTCAAAATGCTAACCTATCTGTTATTATTTTTCAAGGACTCTATTTTTTCAATATACTTTTTATTTTTAGAGAAAACAAAATGAACCCATCTCAAATTGTTATTGTAGTTACTGAATTGCGATAAGTTTTCTTTGGACTCGATGATGATATCAAAATGATTATGAAATCAGAGATTACTGCACTTTTCCGACAATGATGTCTCCACTACAGTTTTATTGCATTCTCGATGTTGCCTGTTCCATCAGATCGTGAAACTCCCAGTGGGGAAGAAAACCATTTCTAGTTGCGTTAGCAGCTTCTCTTCTGGTTCTGAACGTATTAAAGAGGCTAATTCACTTGTTATTCATGGCTGCAATGTTTCTTCTACCGTTGATAGCGTTACTGGCATTAAAAGGATCTTCCTTTGCCTTGTTTAAGTTCAGCTTTGCTTGAGGTGAGCAAATAACACCCACGTTTACAACGTAATCGGGAAACAACTCGATCAAAACGTGGGTACTTGCTGAATCCCATTTGACGAAGTTAATGGTAGTCTACTTTTGGAAAGGCATTTTGTTAATTAAAATTGGATAATTAAGAATTCGTAAAGAAAAATGAAGAGGATCACAAACACAACTCTTTTATCAAAAAACCGAAACAAAAACATTGGTGAGTTCAGTAGCCCAATTTGGCTGATTTTTCATCTGATAGAAGGATTCTGGGGTCGTTGGATTTTAATCCTTTATTGGGATATTTCGAAAATTTTGGCACTGAAGAAAATTCGATGTTATTGTTAGGGCCCTCACAAGCAACAAAATTATTTTTTTAAAGATTTCGATTGTATGTCGTTCCTAACACAATGCTGGTTGCCTCCGCTTCAGATTCCGAAGTGGTACAAGCTCTCTGAGCCACGCTTTATTTTCAGAAACATAATAAAAAATATATAATTCCCTTTTTCCCCAGATCTTTCAATATTCAATTTTTTTTTTTTTTTTTTTTTTTTTTTTTTTTGGGTTGGGATATATGAAGTTGCTAAACTAAACTAAAGTAATTGAAGATTCTTCGATACCAGGGCTGGGTGTGTACCACTTCTTCATCCTTCGCTTCAGCAACCTGTGTATTTAGGACTTTATTATTATTATTTTTTTTTTTTTTTTTTTTTTTTGTGAAAGGTTACAATTTTGCCAAATAGTTGAATAAAAAAAAACCGGTTTTTTAGGCGTTCTTCAGACTGCCGATCGGGACCTGCGGCCCTCTCGTGGGACTGAGGTTTTTGTTTATTTGCTGTTCGGGACTTACAGCCCCTCACTCACTAATCAGTTAAAATCATGTAAATGCTTGTAGTATGAATGCCGTGTTTGCCCGTTCGGGACTTACAGCCCCTCACTGACTAATCAATTTAAATCGTGTAAATGCTATAGTATGAATACCATGATGGCCGTTCGGGACATACAGCCCATCACTCGCTTATATAATCAATAAAAAAGTGTGACTTCTGAAAAGTGATGATATTTTTAAGCACTGTTTTTGTTGGACATAGTATTTTTTTTAACCCTTTTCCCTTAGGCTTTCTAACTCCGTAAATACTCCGTGAAGAACGCCAAAAATGGTAACCTTTCACAAAAAAAAAAATAATAATAATAATAATAAAGTCCTTAATCGGGATCTTTAAAAAATAATTTGTTGCTTGTGAGGGCCCTAATACACATTCATTGATTACTTATTTTTAGGCAGAATGAGCATTTTTGTAGACAAAATGTTTAGTTTGAAGGAGTGTTTGTTTACTGTCGCCACACTCTGCGTATCACAATAACACATATTAAAGTTTTTTTTTTTGCCCACTTTTCGTACATTTTGCCTTTTCGTCCTTTCTTTGTTTCATCGATCATTTCCCTATACAAAAGATTACTAAGAACAGATATCATTGCATCTTCTTTCATTGTATCTTTAAGTTTATTTTCTTTACATTATATCGTTTTATCATTCTATTGTCTTGCTTTTTGTAACACTTATTAACCGAAAAAGTCAAATATGAAGTGTAAAACCTGTGGAAAACAATTAAAGAACACTGATTCGGGATCGAAGGATCATAAATATAATTTTCATATTGATGAGGTGTTTGTTGGCGAAAGTAAGTAGTTTTTTTTCTTTTTTTTTTTCAGTTTGTGCAAATTTTATTTAATGACATTTGCATCCGTAGGTCTTTCACCTGTGAGCAGAATTCATGGGAGCTTCACTTGTCATATTTGTAAAAAAGAACTGAAAACAACAAATGGATTCAGGTCTCATATGGTCAAACACGGTTTAAAGATGAGTATAGAATGTGACACGAGTCTTCCGCTGTCCAAAAAGTCATTGAAAGATTTGGAACATGTCTCCACAGATAACATATCGCCACGCGATAGTATCGGTCATATTCCACCTAAGGAACTTAATATCAAGGAATCTACTGAAAATAATAAGAAACGTAGGCTGCTAACTTATTCACAAACCATCCTTGCTTCAAGTGATTCTGTTGCAGCTGATACTCAAGAACAAACAGATAAGCTTATGATTGCAAAACTTGGTAGATGGGTTCCTATCATCTATGAATCTGAGGGTGAACAGCATGGTCTCTTAACTTCTACCCGATCAGCGACCAAGTTGTTGCAAGAATCATTGCATAGTGGTCAATGAAAGAAACCAGCTAACGACATTGATCCAACTATTGGCGTTCCTTGTCATAAAGATTATTGTGATAGTGATTCTCTTATAGAGCATATCAAATCAAATAGGTATGATGTTTGATTCCACTTAAAAGATGTGTTCTTTAACACATTTTTTTTTTTAGTCAAGCAGCAAAGAAGCTTTCAGCAACTCGTCATGAAGAGCTTACTCTTGAACAATCTAATATTTTAAATCAAGATTGGCTCGAGTATCCTCATTTACGATACTGCGGATCTCAGATGTTAGCCGGGGCCATTTTAGTTGAGGGCCCAAATTCGATTTTGTTGAATACTGTGGAACCGTATTCTCGCGACCCTTTGCTTGACGCCCATTATGAAAGATTGGCTGCTGGCCAGTCAACATTCCCAACGTCACTTGGTATTTATGGATTCTTATCAATTTGTTTGGTTGAAACACAGGACGGCAGAAAGTTAATAGTAGGAACTCGAACTTGCAATTTCCTCATCACATCAAGTATGCGCCTGGACGTCCACTCTATAAATCTTGGACCATCAACCACACACTTTACCCCAACAACAAAAACAAGGCTATTTCTTGATAAGGCTTCACTTGATATCGTCAAAACAATGCTCCAAGACGAAACCATCAACCAATGCCAACAAATGCCTATTTTGTACCAATTAAGACAATTACGAAGCAAATTTGATTGCCTTTCCACTTACACAAAATGCCGAGCATCATCATCATTATTAAGCCATCCATTCTTACAACCGACAACAATCTGGACCTTGTCTTCACAAAATGGCTCAAACTCAAATTTGATCAATTTGTCACAAGAAAAAATAGGAGCTTTAATATTCAGAACACTTGCTGTTCAAGTTTCCAGATATGGCGCTCATGCCTCCCTCGATCGCGTTGCAGTTGACGAAGTTGCGGCACTTACAAAGAATACATCTACTTCAGCAATCTTGAAAAATATCCAAAGACTATTTGACGATAAAGACGAAATTAAAATCATTAATAATTCTGCTCTTAACAGCCAATTAACTGACCTCGCCAACAATATCAACAAGAAAAAAGACGATGAAAAAAAAGTTAAAAGTATTGTTGATGAACTGTATGATTAATTTTTTGTTGTTGACAGTAATCATTTTTAAATAAAAGTTTTATATCGTTTTGGGAAACATAAAGACTATCTAAACGTATAGAAGTCAATTGCATATTACAGTAGTCGTTCGATTTAAGGGTATTTTCTATTTAAGGGTGGATTTTGGAAAAACAGCTTCCGTCTCCCGCATTAACACCACTAAACCACTATTCTATTTAAGGGTGAGATTCCAATTCCCCACACCCTTAAATCGAACGATTTCACAGTGTATTTTTGACTTTTTTCCAGCTTTTTGATCAAATTTATTGAATGTCCGAATAAAAATAAATATTTCGCAGTAATGATCATATTTCACGGTTAAAAATCGTTTTGTGACGTCTGTTTAAAATAGTCACGCTTTTCGATTTAAGGGTATTTTCTATTTAAGGGTGAGATTTCCGAAATTTTTGGTCACCCTTAAATCGAGCGACTACTGTATACCAATATTATTAAATCAATGCCTGTACATGAACCTCCTGAAAGAAAATCATTCTTAAGAGCTACAATTATGAGATGTATAAATATCAAAAATTCGGTCAAACTACTATATGATGATATTAATTTACTATCTTCGCAGACTTGGTCAAATTAGCTTCAAACATCCGGCCAAATAAGTTTCCTTTTTATGAGCAATTTAATTTTGCACAAGTGGACAGTGTTTCCAAAAAAAAAAAAAAAAAAAAAAAAAAAAAAAATCGGTAAATTGACTGTGGATGCATTGTAGATCGATAAATGGAATCAAAAAAAGCTATTTGTTTACATCATTCACTCCGACTTTCAATCCCCAATGGACCACAGGTCCGTTATTAACGTCATTGCCAATCTACCAATAGCAGCGACTCTTATATTTCAGTACATTAATTCAGTAAGAAATAAAAACGTTTTTTTTTATTCGTTTTAATAAGATTTAAACAATGATAACAATAATGAAAAAACTAAAACTTCTTCCAAACATATCCCACCAGAAAACAATACGTAAAATCAAGGGGTGACAAAGCATGAAAATGACTATAAAATAATTTAGTAATGCAATTCGAGGGATACATTTAGTTTACCTTCACTGCCTTCCTAAAAATAAAAAAATTAACAAAATATTAAAATATTTTACATCTCCTATGGCAGCCTATGTCAAAACAATACCAGTAAATATCAAATAAATAAAAATATGCAAATCCGAGATAATACCTTATTTTCTTAAGCTTGGTTTTCTTGAGGATGGTATTCTTGGGCTTGGTTTTCTTGGGCTTGGTTTGTTTACGCTTGGTTTGTTTGGTCTTGGCTGTCTTGAGTTTGTTCTTCCGCCTCTGTGGATGAACTATATTTTTCTGTTAAATAAGTCACGTCATCTTAATAAACATTCAGTAATACCTCATATACTTTTCTCTGTTTTGGTAAGACCTCTTGATAAGATGGAGCGCCACCCAGTCATCCTCACAAAGAGATAAATCTACATCCATTCCAAGTACACGCTCATTTAACAAGTTGACTATTTTGCGACGATAGCACGGAAGCACGTCTCGCCATGGTGGTGGGTGGTTGTTATACGTTACATCCATAAGTGATTTAATACGATAGTAGGCACAGCTCCTTATATTTTCGTAAACCATACCAAAATCTTCAATATCAGGTTTTAGTTGAAGTATAGCATCAAGTACGTCAAGCTTTAATATTTTTCGCTTCCTTGAGTTTCCATTGTTCATTGTCACCATTGGCATGGGTATTTTCTTTCTCCTTGTTCCTGCCTGCTCATTTGTGTTTGAACTTGTGGCGCTTTCATTCTCGGCAAAATGTCTTTGAATCACCTCCATCCCATCAGCATGAGTACGTAACATGTCTTGAATCTGAGTAAAACTATCCTTCAACGATACTATCATTGCGTTGTTTTGAGTCACCGTGTTTTCGAATGAGTTAATTTTCTGAATCAGTTCTAAATTATGATCTTTCTTGGGAGGCATATTAATTATTTTAAGAGGGATGAAGGACAACTTTTTAAAACAACAAAGAAAAAACATTTTATAAAAGATGTGACTGCTAATCTCACTCATTTTTAAAGCCATTATTTCTGTTGCAAGCACGATGTTTTGAGTTTCACTTTATTTCGAAGTTTCTTATTGCCATTTGAATGTAACATCTGCAACAAAAAAATACGCGACAATAATCGCATAGCTCATTTTCGTGAACACGAAAAACAAAGAAGCCTTCATGAAGTCAGCCGTATCAACAACCGATTTAACAATAATAGCTTGAAACGAAAGCGATCGCATAAAAGCATTCAACGCCAAACTGAAGGAACAGCCATAACAACCACAAGAGCACAAACAGAAAATGGTACAGAGATGACATCTGCGGAAATATCCAACGAAACAGCAATGAATCAAGTTGACCTAGTATGGACACTACCAGGATCAATGTTGACTATAACCGAAAATTTAAATAGTCAAGATAATGATTCAACTTATACTTTGACAACACCAATTATTGAGGAAAGCAACTGCGATTACAATAACTGTTTAGATCCAGAAGACTATAACGAAACATCTGCTTGTACTGCTATTACAACATTAAATGTAGAAAGCGAAGCAAGTTATAATTCTCATCCCGATAGAACCTTTACCGTAACGGTTCCAAATAAACAATTCATTGATATTGACAAGAAAAATCTTGAAATCTACCAAATTTTCGAAGAGGATCATGTTGGACATGGTACTATAGACAAAATAGTCAGATGGTATAACCTACAAAAGAATGAAGGTACGTAAAGTGACTCAATAAAACAGAATGCTTGCTCATGACTTTCAATAGACCAAACTCCCCTCCTGACACACAAAAAGTATAAAACAAAGATCAAGAAAAATTCACCTTTTAGACCATTTAAGATTGATACATGTATAAATGTTTGCTATGCTTTCCCGGACAAAAGTGAATTACAGTGCCCTGAATGCCATGAAGCAAGATACACTTCATCCAATTCTACTGCAACAACTACACGAACTACAGAACAGTTAAAGATAGCTCCTCAACTGGCTTCACTTTTCACAAATGCGATGTTTTTACGTCAGTGTGAAAAACCTATCGATACAATCATCAAAGGATCATATATAAAAGATCTTCAATCAAAAGGCTTGTTTCAAGGAAAATATGATATTGGCTTGGTTCACAGTGGCGGACTATATGGTAAAAACCCGCAACATGTGGTAAAAACCCGCAACATTTGGTGGTAAAAACGTCCATTTTATATCACCGAATGTTGCGGAATTGTTGCTCATTTACCACCGGAAGTGGTAAAACTCCAAAATTATACCACCAAATGTTGCGGGTTTTTGCTACATGTTGCGGGTTTTTACCACCTAATGTTGCGGGTTTTTTCCGCATGTTGCGTGTTTATACCACTTAATGTTGCGGTTTTTTTCCGCATGTTGCGTAATTATACCACTTCTGGTAGCTACTTAAATCCACATGTTGCGTCTTTTTACCACAATATAGCGTCCTTTTAGTCAAAACGTAGTACATCACTTTTAATTATAATACTATTGATGCTGATGGACCTTATACATTTGTGCAATCAAAAAATAAATTATATAATAAAGAAGCAGGATTTAAATGAAAACGTTTTTATTTTATTCAATGTTTATTTTGTATTTTACTTTAAAAATAAGGCAAAGGTTTTGCCGGCTGTCTAACATTGTCGTAAGTTGCCGTGGAGGAGGGAGAAGAGTAATACCCAATTTAAAAAGAAAAAAAGTTACTGTTTAAGCATTGCCATAAAACAAAGGGGGAATGAGTAGCTTACAGCCATCTACTGTAGTTTTAGAGAATTAAAATTACGAGGGGGTTTGATGATATTTCGACTTCTTTTTTTTCTTCCAATCATGTAGTTGAGTGTGTATTGGTGCTTAAGTGTGTAATTAAGTGTGTTTTTGTTTAAGAGTCAACAGAGGTATGAAAGTTATTATTTATTGTAATGTTTTAAAATTTGTATTGTTATTTATATGATGGTTATTAAATGAGTGATATATATATATTTGTATGTGGTTAATTATAGAGTGTAGTATTTGTATTGACTATGAGGTGTAAAGCGTTTGTTCAGAATAGTGAATCATATCAATAGCATCAATATTCACACCGAACTTTCTTTTAATTCTAACTGGTAGATCTGCACCAAAAAAATATAGATCATCTGCTTTTCTAACTCTTGACATTGCTACATACATTTGACCATGAGATACCATGTCATCTAAGTGAATAGCCACAGAGTCAATTGTAATGCTTTGTGCCTTATGAATTGTTGTAGCAAAAGCAGGGACAATTGGAAACTGGGATCTCACATAGCTTGTGCCTGGAATGGATCTTGTTATTCTTTGGATCCACAGTGTTTGGTGACTACCGTCAGAGTTTTGCTTCAATAATAAAATATTCTCTTCGTCTACTTCCGATATTGTTGCCAAAGTACCATTTACCCAGCCTTGAGAAACCCGCAAGTTTTGAAGGAGCATGACCGGCATGTCGATTTTTAATTGCAATTCTTCGAGAAGTCTTGTTTCTTTTAGAGCCCTAGCAGCTGATTTTCTATTACCGCCATTGAAAGTATCGATG